AAAGAATGAAAAAGTTTCCAAAGACCAAAGAAGAGATGATATTTTACTGTATTTTCTCTTTTGATTTTGGAGTCTAAGATTGTAGTCACCCTGTTTCTTTGTAGATCTGGGGAAAAAAACATTTCTTTCCCTTCCAAGGAAAATAAAATGGCAGCTTCCTCTTGGACTCTGCCCAAGGTGCCCTCGTTAGCAGGTTTTATAAGTCTATGATGAAAAGTTGCAGCAAACACATGTGCACAACTGCACATTTACACACTCTCACCACAGAGATCTTCTAGTCCCTTCTTCGTTCATAGATGGGAACACTGAGCCATAGAGAAATCATCAGTAACCTATCTACGAAGCTTTGGCAGAATCAAAACAAGATCTCATATTTCCTAATTCCCATTCCTTTCCTCATTCCATTAAATCCCCCTGATATATCATTATTTCATGCCTCCACCATGAGTAACAATGGCTGCCATCTGTAAGCACCTTTTCTGTTAACTAAAAACTCAAGCTAAAATGGATTCAAGCCATTCATTTTCTTCTCTTCCCCTCAGAACCTCTAATATATAAGAAAGACTGGCGTTCTCACACCTGTGGTTTCCAGCCAAACAAAGACAGGCATGTGAATTAAACATTTACCTCAAGTAGACACACGCTCTGGAGAGAACAATCATGGGAGAAGGAAGGGCTGCTTATGCACAGGGAGACAGCTCAGGGGGCAGGAGAGTATGGATGGATGGACACTGGGAAGAGGTAACTACGGGGAGGAAGTGGGAGGGGAGCTGTTGCATTGTGGTAAACTGTGGTCAATAACATGAGACAAAGCATATGTGAACTGCTGTATGGAAAGTGAATTTGCTCTGTAAATCTTCACGCAAATCACAATAAAAAAAAAAAAGACTAAAAAAAAAAAAAGAAAGACTGGGGTTCTAAAGAGAGGTAGTTAGATAGCCTAGTTGTGTGTCTAGCTGTCTGTCCCTCTCTTTTCCCCTCCTCACACTAATGCTAAGCGCAAACAAATCTGTCTTGGAAAAAGTATAGCCAGAATGCTCCTTAGAAGCAAAAATGGCCAGACTGCATCTCTCCTTTGGTCCTGCTGTCATAAGGAAGCAGTCCCTGGAGAAGAATAGTATATTTGATAAAGTACAGGGTCAGGGAAAAAGGAGAAGACCATTAACAAGATGGATTGATACAGTGGCTGCAATGATAGGCTCAAGCAAAGCAAAGACTGTAAGGATGGCATAGGACCAGGCAGTGTTTCATTCTGTTGTATGTAGGGTCGCTATGAGTCAGAGCTGACTTGATGGCACATAACAAGAACAACATACTGTGGTATAGTAAATTACTTTGTGTGGCTTTTCTACCCATAAGTCTTTGTAAACTCCAAGGTGGGATTTGCTATGAGCAACTGAGAAGCTCCTGATTGCTGAAGGTGTCCACCTGGAGTATTTCTGTTGGGAGTGGCACAAAACAATGTTCTGGGAGGTGCCCCCTTCTCTCTCAGGGGCTTAGAGTTCTGATGCTATGATTGGCTAGTTTGACCACCCTGCTGGGCTCAAAAGGAGGCCTCCTAGAGGCAGAACTCTCTCGGACTGCTGGTTGAGGAAGACGTGCTGCTGAAAGAGACACACACCCCGGAAAGAGACACGTGCTGCTGGGAAAGAAGCGCAAGAGACACGCATCGCTGAGTGAGACACCGAGGGACCAGCACTGCTGGGAAAGAGACTGTGAGAGACTGTTGGCTGAGGGACGGTGGGCTGGGAGAGAGACTGAGCATTCTTCCTGAACTTGAGTTGTAGCCTGGTGCTTCCCTAATAAACTCCATAATCTGTGAGTTGTGTGTGGCCACTGCAGCGAATTATCGAACCCAGGAGAGAGGTGGTGGGTGCTTTGGGAGGAACAGTTGGAGCAAGGGCTGGAGAGGGGAGGCAGCATGTCTGGCCTTGTAGGAATAGGCCTTGGGTTACTGCTGGTAATCCTGCAGCAGTTAGAGGAGGTCAGAACATGTGGCCTCCTTGCCGTTTTTGCACATACTAATGCTTATTTGTGCTCATTTCAAAAGAGCTCTGATGGTGCAGTGATTAAGCGCTCGGCTGCTACCTGAAAGGTCCATGGTTCAAACCTACCAAATGCTCCATGACACAAAGATGTGGCAGTTCTACTCTGTCCTATAGGGTTACCGTGAGTCAGAATTGATTCAAGGGCGATGATTTTGGTTTAGTGTTCATTTCAAGAGGCAGGGGAAGCACCATCATCCTCTATCCATTTGACCTTTTCATTTCCACATTTGGCTTTAAAGACACTGCTACTCATGCAGAGAGCATGGCTTGATCCTAATGATGCAAAAGGTTGGCTGAAAAGGTATTTTTATTTCTTTGGTAGATGATGATAGACAAATACACAGTTAATTAAAATTAACATCTCTAGGAACAAAGGTAGTCATATCAAAACTTGGCTAAGTTCTTTAATAGTCAACCTTCTAGGATGATAAAAGAGCTGTAAATACACAATTTATTATTACCTCATTATTCTGAAACTTGTGTTTTTCTAAAAGAATGTTTAATATTAGTAGTTGCTTATTTACCAGCTCTACAGAGAAATGGATATGATCCCCCCCTCCAAAGAAACCTAATTAATTATAACCAAAGATTTTGGGTTGGATATGTATGAGCAGGGAATGCTAGAGGCGTGTATGAAACAAAGGATGGGCTAGTCTAATACAAATACTACATAAAATCACACTTACTCATCAAACTACTTGGATTCTTTCTCCCTTTTTTAATTGATCCAGGATGAATATACTGGCTAAGAATGAATGTGCTTCCCATCCTCTTTGGAACTGAGATTAAACTCTTGAAAAAGGAATGCACACCATGACTCAAGTTTCTTTTTCTGCTCCTGATCCTTTCTCCTTAAGAAGCTAAACAGCTTCATAAATAGTTCATTGAGTTAGTTAAGCTAAAATCTTCTTCTGAAAAAGCATTAAATACTAAGGATGTAAGACAAGAAGCAGAGCTTATAATCTCTTCGAAGCATCACACTTCCATCAGCTCCATAAGAAGCACTTCAGACACAATTAAGGATTGGAACATTGCATTTGGATTTATAAAATAAACGTAGATAGTAAAAAGTAGATACAATGGATTAGGAAAGGGGGCATAATTTGGTAACCATCAGAGAGAGGAAAACATTCAATCAGAAATCTGACCTAAAAGGTTAAGTCTGGTTTATACCTAATAATCATAACCCATTCTCAGGCTCAAGATAAAAAGTGCCACATACACCACTCTAGGGATGGATCCAAAGACAGTGAATTGGGGACAAAAGAACTTTTATAGGTAGGTAAAAGGTAGAAAAAGAGCCCTTGGCGGTACAATGATTAAGTGCTCGGCTGCTAACTGAAAGGCTGGCAGCCTGACCCCACTCAGCAGCTCCACAGGAGAAAGATCTGGTGATCTGCCTCTGTACAGATTACAGCCAAGAAGACCCTATGGAGTGATTCTATTCTGTCACATGGGGTCACTGTGAGTCAAAAATCAACTTGGTAGCACCCAATAACAATAAAGAGTAGACGCATGTTAAACTGTCTGCAACTGTTGTTGTTGTTGTTGTTGTTATTTGCCATCGAGTGGGCCCCGACTCATAGCGACCCCTCCCTTGGGTTTCCGAGGCAGTATCACTAAGGAAGTAGGAATGCCCAACCTTCCTTCCGAGGAGTGGCTGGTGGGTTGTTGTTGTTGTTGTTGTTATGTGCCGTCGAGTCGGCCCCAACTCATAGTGACCCCTCCTTGGGTTTCCGAGGCAGTATCACTACGGAAGTAGGATTGCCCAACCTTCCTTCCGAGGAGTGGCTGGTGGGTTTGAACCGCCAGCCCTCTGGTTAGCAGTCAAGTGCTTTAGCCACTATGGATGGAAATAACAACAATCACGTCCCTTTCAATTTTCAGAACCAGGGTGCTCATGCCCTTTCAGAACTTAGCTTATATGCAAGAGGAGGACCTTCCATATAAAATCAATCTGAGAAATTTATACTGCTCTGGATGTACCACTAGCTGTGTGACCTTGAGAGAGTTACTTAGATTTTTAAAGCTTCAATTTCTTACTTGTAAAATAGAAATTATTCTTACCTAACTCATGGGTAAGTATGAGATAAGCCAATTTCTAAGAAAGTAGCACCCAATACAATCCTTTTTACTGAGGGTGTTTTGTTATTATTTTCCAAGAAGACATTCCAAGCTTTTAATCAATACAACAGAACAATCTTTTAAGTTCTATCTTTTAAAAGACAGAATTAAGGTTTGCTGTTTTGTTTTAACCAAAGAATTGCCATGATAAATAACTTGATCTAAGTTATTCACTGTAAAATTGAGCAGTATAGTTATTATAGACCTAAGGCATGTCATTGGATTATATAAACATGAGCACAAAGTACAAAAAATAGATGTCTTTCTGCGGCAACATTTTTTGTGCTCCTTTTTGGAAAAGATAGCTTTACCAGATACAAGCTACTATTCCAAATAATGTGATAATTTAGATCAAGGTCATTACCAACTCAGATGACCAAACCTGAAAAATATTGTTCTCAAATAAGAGACCTTGAAGAAGGAATGCTCCGATGGGATTAAAATGTCTTGCAAAGAATTACAACATGAACAGCTCAAGAAATCTTAATTTGTAAAAGGTCACAGAGTTACAAAAAACATCGCTCATTTCAGCTAATTAAATGAAATTTTAGTTAAATGGCACCTTTAAATATTGGTATTGCAGCTGCAAGTGCATTTAAATAGCATTTACGCAGATATAATTAGCACAATTAAACATGGGTAGAAGTGGGAACACCATTCTTAATTATATTGATATAATCAGTTTTATTAATGCTTTATGGCAACAAAAGTGACATCTGACAGAAGCACACAATTCATAACTGAACCCAATATTAAGCATTTTAGCATATTAAGGAACCTAAAGCTGGGTAATTGGGGGAAGAAAGAAGTCCAATAAAGAGTTCCTACCTGTGACGATACCATAGTTGGGAGGTTCAAGAATTACTCCATAAAACTGGATGATGTTTCTGTGACTGAGGACACTGAGTATTTCTGCCTGTTCAAAAATAAAATGCAAAATTACAAAAAAAAAAAAAAAAAATCACACTTACAGTAGTCTAATAAAATAACCTTCCTATTCAATTTTCTTATGTATACATTTACAAAGATACATATGTTCAATAAGTATGGAATACTGATAAAATTCTGTAGAAGCATTCTGGAAAGTTTAAAATTTTTATAAAGGCTGAAAATTTAAAAAAGAAATGGAGTCAAAAAAAGAGGTGCTTACCAGCATGCCATCATGACTGATGGTAGGGGAGGATAACTGACATGGGGCAATACCATATTTATTTACAGATTAGCCATTTTCCCTAACAGTCATATATATATATATACACACACACACCAAAAAACCAAACTTACTGCCATTGAGTCACTTTGACTCATAGCAACACTCCTTGGGTTTCTGAGGCAGTATCTCTATAGAAATAGATTGCCCAAACTTCCTTCCAAGGAGTAGATGGTGGGTTTGAACCACCAGCCTTCTGGTTAGCAGTCAAATGCCTTAGGCACTACACCACCAGAACCCCCCTATATGTACACACACACACACACATATATATATATTCCCCCCCCAACCCCCTTGAATAATGTCTCTTCTAGGAGGCTGCTCTACTGGTTGGGTAGTCATTACAAAATTAAGGTAAAGGTTTTTAACCATTAATAGAATTCCCATAAATAAACATGGAATGAAATGCTTGCTGCCTGGTCTTGCATCCCCGTGATTGGACATGGGTTAGACTGTTATGATCCATATGTTTTCATTGGCTGATTTTCTGAAGTATATCTCCAGGCCTTTCTAGTGCAACAATTTTAATTCAAGGTCTAAGACTCTCCATAAAATAAAGAGTCCCAATCTGATACAGAAATGGGAATAATTAAAGTCTATCCATAAAAATGTCTAATACTAATGTCCTTGTCAGGGTATAAAAATGTCTATTGTGGTTGCAATAAGATATATGACTGCCGCTATTTATTTCCAGCTGGGGCTCATTTGTGAATTTCTTCCTTTCTTCCTTCCTGCCCCACTCCCTCTTTCCTTCCTTGGGTGGGAGGAGAAAACAGGGGTTTTATTTTGTTAATAGTTCTGGGGAAGAGTTGGGTATTCTGTTGTTAGTTTCATTGTATATGGCATTTCTATGTGTTTATATAGGAAGGAGGAGCCCTGATGGTGCAGTGGTTAAGTGTTCAGCTGCCACAGCCTTGGAAACCCTATGGGGGCAATTTTATTCTGTCCTATAGGGTCACTATGAGTAGGAATCAACTCGATAGCAACAGGTTTGTTTTTCTGGTTTGTATACCAAGAAGAATTGGTCAACATTCAACCATTCAGGAGATAGCATATGATCAAGAACCAATAGTACTGAAGGAAGAAGTCCAAGCTGCACTGAAGGCACTGGTGATAAACAAGGCTCCAGGAATTGATGGAATACCAACTGAGATGTTTCAACAAACAGATGCAACACTGGAGGCACTCACTCTTTGCCAAGAAATTTGGAAGACAGCTATCTGGCCAAGCGACTGGGAGAGAGCCATATTTTTGTGCCCATTCCAGAGAAAAGTGCACCAAAAGACTGTGGTAATTATCAAATAATATTATTAATATGACATGTAAGTAAAATTTTGCTTCAGATAATTTAAAAAAAAATGGTTGCAGTGGTACATGTATAAGGAACTGCCAGAAATTCCAGCTAGATTCAGAAGAGGATCTAGAACAAAGAATATCATTGCTGATGTCAGATGGATCTTGGCTGAACACAGAAAATACCAGAAAGATATTTAGCTGTGCTACATTAACTATGTTAAGGATTAGGCTGTGTGGATCATAAGAAATTATACCTAATATTGCAAAGAATGGGAATTCTAGAACTTAATTGTGTTCATGTGGAACTTGTACAATGACCAAGAGGTGGTTGTTCAAACAGAAGAAGGGAATATTGCATGGTTTACAATCAGAAAAGGTATACATAAGGGTTGTATCCTTTTACCATACTTTTTCATTTTGTATGCTGAGCAAATAATGCCAGAAGGTAGACTGTACGAAGAATGAAGCATCAGGATTAGAGGAAGGCTCATTAACAATCCATGATATGCAGATGACAGAACTTTGCTTGCAGAAAGCAAAGAGAACTTGAAATACTTACTGATGAAGATCAAAGACTACTGCCTTCAATATGGATTACACCTCAATATAAAGAAAACAAAAATCCTCACAACTGGACCATTAAGCAACATCATAAAAAACAGAGAAAATACCGAAGTTGTGAAGGATTTCATTTTACTTGGATCCACAATTTTGTCCATGGAAGTAGCAGTCAATAAATCAAAGAAGGGGAGTTCCAGTAAGATGGCAGAATAGGCAGAAAGACTGCACAGACACTCTTCAACAAAGAAAAGGGGAACCAATTAACACAGATACAGAAGATAATCCTGGACCCCTGAGCCTTGAAGGGAAGGATACAGAAGTGGACTAAACTCCAACTAGCAGAAGAATTTTCATGAAAACACCAAAAAAGGAGACATATGGAGCTGTGGTCTGGCAGCGATCCTGACAGCACAAACAATTTGGATATTGCTGAGTGGTGATAGAACCTAAGAATTAACCTAAAAATCGGCCCTGCTAGGCAGGGACCACACAGAGGACTGCTCTGGTGGCTGGGGAAGCAGCGAAGAGGAAGGTGGGCTGAGCTGTGGACTTTTGTCTGTCCAGAGGGTGAAGCTATTTGAATGTTTACAAGTGGCTTGATCATTTTGGATATTTAAAGCAACAGCATTCTCCCAGATTCCAGAGAATTAAGAACAAGCTCTACTTGCCAGGAACACCAAGGACATTCCGGACCCAGATAACTGGAAAGGTGCAACATACATACCCCACACCCTCTTGGTGAACAGAGGTATGGCTATCCCCCACTCCCACCCACTTTCTGGGCTGGCAGGAATCCCAGTCTAAGTGCTCCCACGGAGGCTGGGTGCCCTGCCCTGATTTTTTTGTTTGTTTGTTTTCTGTTTTTTATTTTGTTATTTTTGTCTGTTTAACAACTACTATTATTATTATTACTTTTATCTTTTTTACTATTATTCTTTTTTCTTCCCCTCCTA